TGATGGTGATGATTCACTTTCACAAGACGACCAATGGAGCATGGAGCCTGTGGCTCGGGATGTCGACAGTGCGACCGACGGCTTGCCAGTGGGCGATGATCCGGTGTGCGCTGCGGTAGCCTCAGGTTTTCCATCTCCTACTCCAAGAGAGAGTTCGAATGGTAACCAAGAGAGTAATGATTCCCCGACTGAAACTCAAAGCGAAGAGAAATCGCCTGACACAGCCGTCGCCGATCTGGAACACACATTCATGTGTGTCATGCATGTACTGTCCACGGAGGGCAACGACGATCCAGCTGACGACGACTACGCCGTACACGAAGCGAACTATATCTCGTTGGAGGACTATGCTCAAGAATGGGCATTTTTGCCCGACTTGACAGAGCCCTCGGTCACGGAGTTGGATTACACAGCTCCGAATGTCAAGAACTCGAGTTTCAGGGTGATCAGCAACGACGACTCGATGAGGTGCTCAAAAGGCACGAACCGATCATGATTTCGAGCGGTAATGCGTTACCACCCCCTGCGTATGGGGTGGTATGTGACATTGATGTCCAGGGCATGCACCGATCAAACAACGAGCAAGGCGGATTCCGCTGAGGCACTTGCAGAAGCTCTACGAGCTACTCAAAGGACTGCTTAAGGCCGGCCTCATTGCGTTCTCGGACAGTCCATGGGCGTCGCCCATTGTGATTGTACTGAAAAAGAATGGCCAAGACATTCGACTATGCATCGATTACAAGATGGTCATTGCAGTTACTGCAATCATGGAGTACGCCATGCCTCTGGTTGACGACCTGTTGACAGAGCTGGTGAACTACCTGTGGTTCTGCTCGTTGGATGCGGCTAGTGGCTTTTGGGCCATCATGATGACGATGCGTGCGCGCAAGACTTCAGCGTTCGTTTGTGCGTTAGGGCACTTTGAGTGGCTTCCGAATGTCATTCAGCCTGAAGAATGCTCCCATGATCTGCCAAAGGATGATCGATAATGCGTTATGGGGTTTTGTACAGCCTAAAGGTGGATGGGAGCGATATGCTGAACGAATGAAAGTCGCTGAAGAAGCAGCTAAACACCAACGATTACTCGACGACGACTCCGATTTCACCCTGACGACGACTCGGACCAAGTTTGAGGCTGATCGACAGGCGTCGTCGGAGCTAGATCCGGTGTTACGAATGGTTAACGACCCATACGCAGATATGTTTGCGACTAATGGACCGGACGAACCGTCGCTAGTCCCAGTGTTTCGGCGTCGATCCTTTGTAGATGACATTTGTTTCGGTGGCACTACATTTGACGACTGCTTGGATACACTAGACAAGCCCGTTCCCATGTGTCAGGCGGGTAGCGACCCCGGGCGTCCCCCGAAACCGACTCCACCCGACTCTCCCGGGTCAACAGGAAGCAACCGGTCGCGCCCTCCACAACCCGATCACGGAGGGAGATATCCCCTCGTAGGTTCTACCCGTCTGACCCAGGCAGACCGGGATCGCGCGTTGGCAGATCTTGCGCTCGCCCGCACGACCCTGACGCAGGTTTTCTCCGATCGAGATCAGTCCATCACGCAAATCACCCAGGTCACCGAGGATCGGGATCTGGCTCTTGGCGATCGCGACACGGCCCTCCAGAGACGTGATCAAGCGATCGCTGAACGCGACCAAGTTCGCCTAGATCTCCTTACCGAAGCGGCTCGCGTCGCCGAGCTGGGTAAGTGAACTTCGTCATTCGATCTAGCACGATCTCCCTCTGACACACCTGTTTTCCGCAGACGATGACCTCGAAGGCGTTCGCTTGGAATTTCAGGGGTGGGGACACCGGATGGCGGACCTCCAGCAGGCCCATGATCAACTCGGCGAATTGCGAGATCTGGCCGAAGGCGATCTGGCCGAGGCCGTACTGCTCCTCACGTATCTCGCTAGCCGGATCAGAGAGAGCCAAGCGGCCCGGATGCCGAAACGTGATCGGAGTCCGCCCAGTTCTCCTCCCCAATTATCGCCTCTCAAGACCCCCGCGGCGATCGGCCTACTTCTCCATAGCCCGACCAAGATAACCCCGAGATCAAAAGCCCCGAGGATGAGGAGCTGGTAGATAAGAGCGAGATCTCAGGCGGAGGCGGAGGCGATCCTGACAATGATAAACCTCCTTCCTCAGAGAATGGATCTTCAACTCCTCCTCCCTCACCTCACAGATCTCCCGGAGGAGGATCACCTGGCGGAAGTCCAGGTGGTGGTTCCCCTGTTGATTCACTCGGTGGTGGCTCACCTCTCCAGCTGAATCCGCCATTGTTCCCTGCCGAGGCGAGTGTTCCCAGCCATTCCACGATCCGGATTTTCACGGCAGCTGAGATCACCCCGTGAGGTTCAGCTATCGTGGGGTCCATACCAATCATCGCCACGATTCAGGCCACTTTGACCAAGAGGTTGCCGAACCCGTCCGGCTTCCTGTTTCCCACTCGGACGCCCTTTGTTCGGGCTCCTACACCCAGGACCGGTTACCGTTTCGAGCTGATCACCGGTGCAAACGTGTTGACCCTGATGGCTACGGAGCCGTGGCTCGTGCATCGACGGAACCGCCCCACTCCACTGACGTTCGATCACAACTTGCACCGGCGGGCTAACACCCCTTTACGGCGGATCACCGTGTCTTATGCTGGCCTGGAGGACGATCACTTGACAGTGTATTGGGAATCGACCCATTACCTCGAGATCATGAAAGTGATGCTTGCCTCGGACCCCGATCTCTTCACCTACCACCAGGATCGACGTCAGCGGCGCATCCGAGTTGGTGATCGCTGGTGGAAACGGTTGGGAGCGTGCCTCCCGATGCGGAGAAGCCAGGGGGCCGACATCGACCTCCTGCTGGATCCTTACTTCGTTTACCTGCTGACGCCCCAGGATGGTATACCGGATCCGTCTCCAGGGCGGCCAATCTCGCGCAGCCGACCGCGAACGTCCCTGAACCGACCGACTTGATCGCCGCGCTGTTCCAGTGCGATCAGGCCGATACCTGGCGGAACCATTTCGGCGATCCCGGCACCGCTCATCCGTCGCTGCAAATCCCTCGTCTCGCGAACAAATTCAACCCTTCAGCGGCTCCTTGATTCGTGGATCCGACTTCACTCCGGGGAAAACCTCCGTGATCCCCACTCGCCATCCCGCGATCGCGATTTCTTCTTGTCGACCCCGTAATTCACAAATCTCAGCCACATCTTCTACTTGTTTACTCTTTTCGTCGCTCCCCCTAAGTGATCTCTCTTCAGACCCCCACACCTTCCGTGATCCCTTGTGAAGGTGGACGTTTCCCATATGCACATATACAACATGAACTTCTGATCTCAGTATTATCCGACTTGCACTTCCTCGGGGCCGAGGCGATCAGGCAATCTAACCTCGTCCTCCTTAAATCTTCTCATGCGATTGCATCACGTTGGAACGGTTACGATTCGCTCGTTCTCGTAGGAAGGCGTTCAGTATTGCTCCGCAGTTGAGATCGGTCTCGTCGACCCAGGTCGGCTCGTTATATCCTACCCAAGGCACCAGACGTTCTCGGTAGACCCGACAGAATCGCGTTTTCTTCCGACTCCGCACATCCGACATCCGTTCGACTTCGTACTCTTCGGCTCCGAGATCTGGGACCCAGCTATCCTCCGGAAGCAGGATCTCATCGAAGTCGAGGGGATCCGATTCGCTCACCGTGAGCTCAACTCGCGACCGATCCGGAAAGTCCTTGACCAATTTCAGCTTCGATACATGAACGACCGGGAAGATCTGGTAGTACCCGCCACCTCGAGCTTGAGGGTGAATTAGTTGATCTTTTCGGCGACACGGAACGGCCCATGCCACAGGTGAGCTAATTTTCGGGCGTATCCTTCTCTCACTCGCTCTAGAGATAACCAAACTCGAGATCCGGCCTCGATCTGGTGTGGGCTGGCCCGGTCCGCAATGGCCTTTCTCAATCTGGCGTTGACTTTCTTCCGCGATCGCTGTTAATGCCGTTTGACCCGATAACGCCACCGCCGCGAGTCTCGATCGCGCCGTCTGGTGCAGTATAGCCTCCAGCGTTGATCTCGGATCCCACCCATGCACCCGAAAATGAGGGGTATCCCCCCGGATCCGATCATAGGCCGTGTTGATCGCGAAGGTAAGTCGCGCTGCATACTCACCCCAATCCTTCTGATCCAGATCGCGAAAGCACATCTTGAGCGCCCTGGTCGCAGTCTGCACCATTCTTTCTGCGGTCCCGTTGGCTTGTGGCCGATATGCCATCGTCGCTCGCTGCCGTTGTCCCAGGATCTTGTTAAACGCCCGGGAGAAATCGGACATGAAGCCGGGTTCTCGATCATGCCGGATCATCTCACTGGCGACTCGCCGAAATACACACTCTTCGTACGATTCCGCAACCGTCTGGGCCGACCTGGACGAGCTACCTTACGCGATCACGTATCCCGTGAACAGATCGACCCAGATCAACAACTCTGTATTCCCCTTGTAAGATCTGGGCAGCGACGGTATGTGATCCATCGCAATGGTCTAGAACGGGTATGTAGCCTGCAAGTTCCCTGAGATCACGGATTTTCCTTTTCACGTTTCGCAGTCCACTCATTCCCCCACATATCGCTGAACACTCCGATATAATCCTCTCCAGTAGAAGTGATCCCTGGTCCGCTGGTAGGTACGTCCCACTCCCTGATGTCCTCCTTCCAGCGTGGTGTGATAGTGGTTTAAGAGGTCGGATTGCAACATTTTGGGCACCACCAGTTTCAGCAACCGATCGTGATCGTCCCCCGATCTCGGGTTGGGTTGGCAATAAAAGAGTAGATCTTGTTTATCCACCTCATAGTCGACCACGATCTTGCCGTACGATCTTGCTTATGCTTGGGTGAGGTCGGCGATCGAGCCACTCAGATATTTCTTCATACCCGCGATCCAGACTTCCTCCTCCTGAGCCTGCTTGATCCGATCGACCCGCATCTCCCGGATCAGATTTCTTGCATGCCACCCGCAGGTGATCTTGCTCGAGCAGCTCGAGTGGTAACCGCTGCAACTCACACCACTGGTTTCTCGGTCCTGGGGATCAAGGTTTCGTCTAACCGGTTCAGAGTGACCAGATCCTGGTACCCGGGACCTCCCTGGACCTCGATCCCGTCTTGTCGTTGCAAAGTGGCACTCGCCAGGCTGTCAGCACTCCCATTCCAATCTAGCTTCACATGCACTAGTTCATGATCGCTCCATTTCTTCAGACGGTCAAAGGCCTTCGGCTTCAATAGCGTCAATCCGGGTGCTTATCAATCGATCTCGCTCCATACTTGTCGGATCACTAAGATGGAATCACCGCAGATCACTAGGCGCTTGTGATCTAGATCCTCTAGCATGTCGAGTCCCAGGAGAAGGCCGTTGTAGTCGGCTTAGTTCACGGTGAGGCTCTCGAGATAGCCCGATCTAGCTTTGACCACCTCCCATCCGGACAGACTCCACACGATCGCGCTGAACGCGCCCCGCCACGCTTCACTCGAGCCGATCCATCAAAGCTGACCACCCATTGTTCCTATTCTCGATCCACGGTGGGTATCGGTGTTTGGATCCGGCGTTTAAGTTCCTTCCGAGGAGCGATGTCGGTTAAAGGGTCGTCCATCTTCGCCCTCGGCGTGATGCTAGTAGCGATCGCACCCAGTATCTCGTCCTCGTCTTTCGTGTACTTTGTGATCTCGAGAGTCCACGGGGCCAGGAGAACCGACCATTGTCCTAGGCGACCCTGTAATTCTGTCGGCTTGAACAGCCAGGCTAAGGTGGAATGCCTCGTTAGAACCCGGATCTTGCCCGTTCCACTAGTTAATTGTAGTAGAGATCCAAGATCCTCAGCAATACCAACACCTCCTTTTTGGTCACATTGTAATTCAACTCGTTCGGCTTCATGGGGCGACTGGCGAACGCAACCGGATGGTAGATCCCGTCGTGTTCTTGCGTCAACGAAGCGGATATCGCCCAATCACTCGATATACAATAACTACCGCCGTTCTCGTCTCGTCAAAGTGGCGGAGAATTGGAGTCGTCGCGATCTTGGTTTTCAGGGTGATGAAGGCCTTATGAGCCCTGATCCACCTCTCATCTAATGGTTCCGCCAGCTGTAGTTTTTGTGGACCGTTATCCCGTGCAATCGGGTCGTTCTGGTCCATGATCTTCCTCAGATCCGATCGTATCTCCAGTTCTGCAAACTCCACCTCGCGTAGTTCATATAGCACCGAGGCGTAGATAGTGTAGTCTTCAATGAATCGGCTGTAGTAGTTCAGACTACCCAGGAACGACTGCATGGATCGAAGTGACCCGAGAAATGGCAGATCGGTCAGGGATTTCAGATCTTTTGGGTTCGCCTCTAGACCTTCGGTCGACACTCGGTGCCCCAGATATCGTACCTTATCCATGCCCCAGAAGCTCTTTGTCACACTGATCGATAAATTCCACTTATCACAAGCCTCCAACAGATCCTCCGCCCTTTGGCACATTTGATCCCACGATCCCGCTGCGATCATGATGTCGTCAATGTATGATATTCGTCCTAGCACTGACCCGCGATCCCTGTCTGAAAAACGTCCGTTGTGTTCCCGGCGTCACCCGACCGCGGTATTTTCAGAAATCCATATAGCGCGTTGTCGATGAGGCGTTGATAAATCTGGGGGGCATTCTTCAGGCCAAAAGTCATGCGACTCCATTCGAATAGTCCAAACGGGGTGATAAATGCTGAGATCTCGCGGGCCCGGTCTGGCATCGGCACGACCCAGAAGCCGCTGGCCATGTCCAGTGAGCAATACTATAACGCCTTGTCGAGGTCCTCTAGCAGATCAATGATCAGATGCATAGGGTAGACCATCAGCCTCGTGAGGCCGTTTACTAGCTTGTAGTCGATGCACAGCCTGATATCTACGCCGTTACTCTTGACGACAATTACTATTGATGAGGCCCATGGCGCGTCGAAGGTCGGATGATCTCGGATGCTAGGAGTCCCTTGATCAGACCTGCGACTTTTTCTCGGAATTGTGTGGGTACTTTCCGGGATCGAAACGCGATCGATTTCTCGTTCCCGACATCAATATCACATACGACGCCCCTGGCCGCCGGCGTTAGGTCGTTCCCCTTGCCGATCAAGAGGTGTTGCTTCTTCGAGATGATCTGGCGGCGCTTCTCGATCTCCTCGGGGGTGGCTGATCTGGAATCTCATACCTGCAGATATTCGATACTGACTTCCGCGGTTGTCGAGATTGGAATGCCGGTGATAACAGCGAGATTGCCCGCAAGATCTTCCGCTGAGAGATCATCACGATCGTGAGAGTATATCTCCTCATCGTACTCGGTATCCTGACGGGGGTTTGACGCTGCTCATCCTCTGATGGATCGTGTAGTTCAACGCCCTCAGTCGGGCGGATCCGGGTGTTTACGCCGTAGTCTTCGCCGGATTCGGGCTTGATTCCGGTTTGACAATACGGATTTTCCGTTTTGGGCTCGACATCCTTTGTGCCAGTCCGATCGGGAGCCTGGTTCGGCATGCTCTTACTAATCCCGCTGCCCCCAGCATCGCCACACCGGGATCGATCGGCATTGGGCGTTGTCGGTGATGTAGACGGATGACCCCTGTCCGGATTGGGAAACCTTGCCTCGATCTGGGCTGCGTTGGCCGATTCCGCCTGCGATCGAGTCTCGAGGGTCGATATCAACGCACGATCCCGGCTGGTGTCGGAGGTTTCAGCACGTCGAAGTAGCGATCGCAGTGTGGGGTACGTTGGTTGCTGTCCTACTGGCTCTTCAGGACCCTCCAAAGTTTCTGTAAGCTCCGGTCGAGTATCTACCGTCGATTCCAATGCCAAGTCTTGTCACTCCCTGTAACGGCGAGACCCGACGGACACGTACCCAGGGAATTGGGGCGATCCCGTATCATCCCGACATCTAGACGATGGTCTAGTCGTATATTATTTTCTCCGATATTTGTGATCATCAGGTAGCGGATCCGACCGGGACCTTCAGTTACTGTCGGTACCCATCGTTCTCCTCTGGTCACCCATAGGCTTTCTGTAGCCGACAATTTTATCCTCGCTGCTGCTTCAGACTGTCAAACCGGGATTCATAGATTTCTTTCGTGGGTTACTGATCTCACCTTTTCGCCATACAGTCTCTTACGACCATTAAGCGGGATTCCAACTTCATCCGGCAGGCACATCGATCCGTCGGCGAGGTCCATCCGGACACCAGCTGGGACCATGAAATCCATGCCTAGGATCGCGTTCTGTCCTGATACATCTCCAATCCAGATGTCGAAAAAATGCACCAGGTATCCCGCTAACGTGATCTTGATCCTGGTTCTCCGTCCTGTGATGTATACGTTGTCACCGTTTCCCACGCATTCCTGTCTCTGAATACTGTCAAAGTGGCATCCCACCTTACGAGCAAAGGTGGTATACAAAATTGATACCTCAGCGCCAGTGTCTAGAAGCAGGATCGTTTTCACTTGATTGATCCTGCCTGAGATCTTAGCTTGTCGGAACCATTTTCCCAATGCATGAAGTTTACAATACCCCGGGACTCTCCTCTTTTGAGATCTAAGGCCACTTCTGCGTCATATCGGCTAAACTAGCGGTCTGGGCACCCGCTACGCGGGTGCTGTCGGTATGGTTTGTTGGTATC